GCAGAATGCCTCAACTGCATATCACCCACAAATGGATAGACAGACAGAACAAGTGAATCAAGAGATTGAGAAGTACCTATGGCTGTTTATCAACTATTTACAGGATGACTGGGTCAAATGGCTGGCTCTCACTGCCTTTCAATATAACAACAGAGTCTATTCCACCACCAGGAAGACACTATTTTTCATCAACTTTGGGTATAACTCCAATGTCTTGCACACAGAATGAACAGCTACCTCCACACTCACTTCTCATGACTTTGCATAAGAAATGTCTAAAATCCATGATGAAACATGAGCTGCCCTTGAAAAAGTGACAACCTCCATGAAAAAACAATATGATAAACATTGCAACCCTGCACACTCTTACAATATCAACAACAAGGTCTGACTGGATACCTCCAACCTCCACCTCCCCTGTCCTAAATGAAAGCTTGCTGATAAACATACAGAGCCTTTCCTAATCATTGCTCAAGTCAGCAACTCCATATATAAACTCTGCCTTTCTAATAATTGGAAGGTCCATAACATCTTCAATGAACTCCTACTGACACCCTTCATTACACCCATGTTCTCTAACTAAAAATGGCTGCCCTCTCCTCCTTCAGACTTGATCAATGATGAAGAACATTATAAAATTGATCAAGTACTTAATCATTGACTCTGCAAAATTTGGGTGTGAGGGGAGAGGACAATGATAACTGTTGACTATTTGCTTAGTTAGAAAGGCTATAGGCCTGAATCTAACCAGTGGGTTAATGAAAAATGAATAAATGCTGCAGATACTATACATGACTATGAATTATCTCTAAATTAAGCTATTGGGATGATGGTCTTAAGAAGAGGGTAATGTTATGATTTTTCCATCTTTTCTTTATATTAACCCCTATTTATACTTAGTCAGAGCACCTAGACCAGTGCTTAGGACTGTGGGACAGGCTTAGTCATCACAACAAGCTGATCCATCATTCTCCTCTGATGTAGTGACAAACCCTCAATGATGCACAATGACTTTTTGTAAGTAGTAGCAATGCCTAAGGACAATGGGCACAAAGACCCAGACAAGTACAATAGGCAGTAGTATATTTATCTTGATGGACAAGTAGTATATAAGTAGGCTAGCTCTTGCTAGTATAACCCCAGCTTTGAGCTAAAGTTTATTCTATACCACTTCACTCTCAAGCCAATTCTACAGGTCTTGAAGCACTTGGTCATCAGACATAAATAGTGAACTCTAGCATAACTGTATGAACATGATACAGCACTAGCTTATCATGTGTTCTGATCACATGTAACTTGGGTCTAACACACAGAAACATACTAAAACTCTGTTCACAGATCCAAAGGATTTAAACCTCTGCCACCTGTAGTGTCTCATATCACAAATACCTCAAAAACTCAAAAGAGTGCCCTTCAGACACTGCTCTCTTATTCTCAGACTAGAGTGCTACTACCAAACAATCACAAATGTCTGATACTGCTTCATCCAGGATCTGCTTTTGTATGCTGTTGTTGATATTAAAGAATGATAAGAATGATGAGATAAGTGATGATAAGGGGGATGAGTTTGGATGGCTGGTAGATTATGTCTGCTAGAGTGGTGAGAATAATCACATCAGATAGTCAGAGAGTTTAGTAGGTGTATTAAACCTTAGCTTGAGACTGGGGTACATTAGTGTATCCTACTGTATTTAAATACTGTCTAGAAAACCCTTCACTTTACAGGTGACTATTGTCCTGTCGTCATATCCTCTACTCATTGTCTTAATGATAATAACTGTGCCCATGCCTCTGAGTGTTATTATCATTCTGTAGTGCCATTGTTATGGCATGTTTCTATAGTGTCATAGCACTTATGAAAAGAGTATGAGATGATGATGATTAGTATGCCATTCTCAGCTGCTCATTGTATGTTAATGAATAGAGTATAGCTTTTGTGTTATCATAGTGTCATCATCTGTTGACATGCTCTCTGCATGTCAAGGCATGTAATTTTTTGAATGATGATACATTGATTGTATTCCAGTCTACTATACATGCAATAAAGAATATAGTTAGAGCACAGTAAAATGGGACTTGTATGACAACTGACATGAGTGACAATTGGTGCTGGGCATGGCCTAGCAGTAGGATGATACCAGAGGAAGTCATACTGTGCATGAGGTTCCAGCACTTGACACTAGATGCACTAATATGAGTACAGAAAGATCCACTAAAAATAAAGAGCATATGATCAAAATATGATCAGGGCTTCATGTGTGATTTTGTGTCATATTGATCAATGATATATCAGTATTGATGAGCTGAGGGACATGTTCTAGAACAGAGCATTAGTGCACAATGAGCCTGAATATTCAAAGTATTAGCTGAGAAATGAGAAGATTTGATGAAAGTAATGACCACAGAAATGATTTCAGGAGTCTAGAATGACTCCTGCACATGGATTAATTGTCCTGAGGAGATAAGAAAGTGAAGAGACTAGTGGCTAGACCAGCTAACCAATGTCAGGTTGCATAGAAATAGAAAGCACAGTCTCAATCTAGAGCAGAATATGCATGTCAGACAATGACATGCATACAAATGACTTATGAGAGACTCCAGAATGGAGTCCCACACATTGAAACTACTATATTAGGTGTCACTTAGTAAGTACAGTAGTAGCCTATTTAAATATCACATTGTAAAAGTAGTAGACATATTTTCAACCCCTTACAGCTGCAGTGTATTAGGCCCAAAGACCTTACACTCCAACTCTGGCTTTGAGTTCATAACTTCAGATGAGATAATAGACTCTTATTGAGATCATTAAGAGAGATTTGAGAATTGTGCAAGGCATTGAAAGCTCCACAGGACTCTAGTCCAAAAGAGGTTTTGAATTGCACTTGTCATGATTTTACCTCTAATCATGATCTACTAATACTTAGTAAAGCTGACACTTATAAAAACCTGACAAATCCTGGCCACAGCCTGACCCTGACTATGGAAAAACCTTACTGTAACCACTTGGAACTACAGTGAAGAGATTTTGCATGTGCACAAGGTGAAAACTGATACAGCAGAATGCTATTCACTGATCACACCCACATCAACATACACATAATACTCTTAGTTTATTGGGAGATTGTAGTGCAATAAGAGTAGTTATAGCAAATATAATTGTCTTCCAATGATCTGCCATATGTAAATAGCAATAGCATGCATGTAATAGTCCTAAGTCTCTTAAGTCTCAAAGCTTTTCATTTAAAAACAAGAGGAGGCAACAAATGTTGCTGAACCTCAAGGCAATGGTACTGTAGCTCAATACAATACTTTAAAACACTCTCACAAAACCTCAAAAGTCTCAATCACTGCTCAGATCAACTCAAAATCTCTAAAACACACATCCACAAGCATCAAAGAGTTTAAACCTCTGCACACAAGTTTTCAAACTGATTATAGATCTACAGAATTCAAACCTATGCAATCCAGAGACACAAAAACACAGTGAAACCCTGTCCACAGGCCAAAGGGTTTGAATCTCTGCCAACCTATAGAAATAACCAAAAAAGCGAGCACTAATTAAGCAAAAGGGTTCAAACCTCTATCACTTGTAGTGTCTCATGTTATGAATACCTCAAAAACTCAAAAGAGTGCTCTTCAGAGACTGCTCTCTTATCCTCAGGCTAGAGCACAATTCAAAATCTCTTATTAAATCAAATTAGAGTCCTGTAGGAGCTTCAATATCTCACACAGTTTTCAGATCTCTCTTAATGATCTCAATAAGAGTCTATTATCTCATCTGAAGTTATGAACTCAAAGCCAGAGCTGGAGTGCAAGGTCTTTGGGCCTAATACACTGCAGCTGTAAGGGGTTGAAAATATGTCTACTACTTTTACAATGTGATATTTAAATAGGCTACTACTGTACTTACTAAGTGACACCTAATATAGTAGTTTCAATGTGTGGGACTCCATTCTGGAGTCTCTCATAAGTCATTTGTATGCATGTCATTGTCTGACATGCATATTCTGCTCTAGATTGAGACTGTGCTTTCTATTTCTATGCAACCTGACATTGGTTAGCTGGTCTAGCCACTAGTCTCTTCACCTTCTTATCTCCTCAGGACAATTAATCCATGTGCAGGAGTCATTCCAGGCCCCTTAGGTTGTCTCTCATGTCCAGAGTCAGCCATAATTGTTATGTTCTCTAGCCAAGTGCCCAGATATTCTGTCTTACTCACAATGTATGTCACTTCTAGCCTAATGCACATCAATTAATTCACCACATTGTTATCCATCATACATCAGGACTGTGTGAAGTTCTGTGCAAGATTACATGTGGAGTCTCTTGCATAGGTCATATACAGAGTCTCTCACAAAGATCATGTGTAGTGTTCCTCATATGCAAGGTTATATCTATAGCTCCACATGATTTCTATTCTTAGTGCACAAGCTTTGTGCTATTATTGATGCATTCAGTGTTAAGTACTGAGACTTTCTGTGCAGTGTGACCCTTCAGTATCATCCTGAAGCTAAGTCATATACTCCACCAATCATCACTCAAGCCTATTATGGCTAGCCTTTCTTTTATTATGCTCTAGGTCTATTTTGCTTCACATGCTTAGTAGTACTTTTGTATTTAGCATGTAGTACTGTATTTCACAAAAGTACACACATGGACATGTTTAGAGCATGTCACAATGGTGAACCTGGCCCAATTATTGTGACATTCAGCTGATTGTGAACAACCTTGGGAGGCCTCTCAGTAAATATACTGTGGAAAATCTTGTTCACTGCCACTGAACCCCAAGCTTGGCAGGGATAAGAGACAATGTCACTGTCAATTTTTGGTCTCTTGTCAATTAATAGTGGTGAATACATGTTCTATGAAAAGGAGCATGCCTACTGGAAAGCCATAAGCAGTTTATCCTAAACTGGTAGAGAGACAAGCGAGGTCATGAGTTCTGTGTTCTAGCTTATAAGGAATCGGTCCCACTGATGCAACAAATTTCTGGAAGGTCATCAAAGCGAACGAACCGCGATATACTTCCTACACTGTTTCTCAGAAAGCATACAGAAGTTATAAACCATTGTAGTCACCATCAATGAGGGGAAGTCCCAGGGATCCCGAAATGCGACGGCCAATTTGGGCCTGATATATAATGAATGGAAAATCTGATATTCAATGCCTGGTATGGTATATGATGGATCGTATTATATCAATTCGCTTTTCGCGAGGTTTCTTCTGATGATGCTATCATGGACTTGAAAGCGGACGCTCAGTAAAGTGAACTGAGGAAAATGGGCAATGAACGAACCTGCTAGTACAACAGCCTGAGTCGCGCGCGTGTCCTGTAATTGTTCGGCTTCGCAGATTATCGCACTAGCAAAAAGGGAACACGCACAATAGCAGATGTTTCATAGGATATGAAAGACCGAGGATGCAAAGATAACTTTCTCTAATAAGAGACATCCATCAAAATGATCTCAATTACTTGGCGGAGAAATTGAACATACGTGATAATTCCTAAACCTGTCTTTGAAGTCTGACACATCATCATGCCTTAGTATGACGAAGGCTGAGATTCAGGACTTGCGTAACTCACACTTGGTTACGTGACGAACGTCATTCGGGTCGTTGTAACTTGTTACGTATTGTTTAACCGAAACTCCCGACGCTAATGTCTTCGCAAGAATATCTTTCTTTAAAACATGTATCAGTGATAGACTTGCCGACATTGATGGTGGACCCACCTTATTAAGGAATAGGATCAATGTACAATTTGCTAAAAGCTTGTTCTCACATATCGCCCGCCATAGTTGTAGGCTATCTTCCTGTCATTGCCATGAGATGCCAAAAAGTACCAGTATCGGCCGCACGTACTAGGCGATTAACCCGAGGATCCTCCTCCAAAGACAAATTAAAAGCCAGCGGCGCCAGAAACAGAATAGCATCCACTATGACCGAATGTGTGGAGCCCGGAAAATGCGGAGACAGGGCTACGTACCGTCATCAAAGTAGGGTATCCATGATGGACGCTAGAAGATTCCATTTATTTTTCACAGGCGGAAATGCAAAATTGCTCACCGATGACCGACTCCCGCCGACATCTGCAATGAAGAACTCGGATCCTTTCTGCGTGCCTAACGAGCGTCCTGCAGGTCATACCTGTTTGCATACGCTGAATGTCGGACCCGCGCCTACCTGATTCAGTGACGAAATGGTGCTCTTCAACACCGATAGTTCTGACTCTTGCCCGTACGATATCCGCTGAAAACACAGTCAAGGAAGCCTTCATGGGAAAAACCCACGCACTCACATTCCGTTGGCATGTAATCCCTCCTCGTAACCCTCGATACATCATCTAGAAAGCTACCGAAATCAGGTCTTTTCGGCTCCATACGATATCACTTGGACTGACAATCCTGAAGAATCCTGGAGGCGGATCCCAGATGAGTGTAAGACGTCTTGTACTGCAGGATCGTTCCACAGAGAGAGTATATCGTCCACAGATGCTTCCAGCACTTGTGTAGGGTCGTTCTTGACGAGCAGGTCTCGGCCTCGAGGACAGTCCAATGAGCTTCGCGGAGGGTCCCCACTTAGCGTGGATTTCCACCCGCTCCCGGCTCGTACACAGACATCTCGTGCTTCGGGATTCAGGGAGAGTATCTCATTGAAAGCAGTCTCATATGCGAACAAAGGTGACAGTCGCAAATGTAGAAGTCGGTGCTTTTTGCCAAGGGACGTTGGAAGTGTGCTATCGGGGATCCATTCGCTTTGTAGAGCATCAAGGATTATTTTTATAGAGCTATAAGAGGTGAGAATGAATCAAGAGTAAAGAAATCCTATACGTACTTTATGAGATTCAGCTGAACTATTCTCTTCCATATTCCCTGCTCCTTTCTGAATTGAATGGGAGTAAACGCAAGCTGAAAGTCTGAAAAATGATTAGCAGAAGTAGATATAAATACGCATGTACTCTTCAGTAATGTGCTCTTATCAGAAGACCAAGAGTAAGACGAAATCCAACATAAAGAAACAGCGGATAACCAACTTTTCCGGACTCGGCTTGACCTTTACAAGAACGATATGAGATGGATCTCGTGACAATGACATGACTACAAGACTCACCCAACAGCAACATCTTTACCGCCCTTTTCTTTTTCTCCATTGCCTTCTTCGTCTCCAGCAGATGCTCGTCGATCTGGCGCGAGACCTTTTGAGCATCTTGGGATTCCTTCTCGCGCTTGGTCCTCTGCTCTTCAGTCTCATCCGGAGGCCCAGGAGGATTCGTCGGTCCATAAAATGGATTATCCAATGCATCGAAAAAAACCTCCGTATTCGCCTTGCCTCTCTTTGACATGGGGGTAGCAGGAAAAGTAATTTCGGTGATCGAAAGGCCATACGGATTGGGACTGAATACCAAATGGGATAACTCGACCCTGCGGGCAGTCTCCCCACGCGTAGGGGAATTCCCGTATGAAGGCATTTTCCGAGCTTCATTGCATATTTACAGGCCCTAAATATCGGAAAGCGCATTTGAAAATGTATTCACTGAAATTTGGAAGGGTTCATACGTAACCGCCGCCAAGACCGCAATTCCGGCGCCAAGACTGAAGAGGCTGGAGTTACCTCGTAAGAACGCTAAGTTGATATCGCTTTTAGGTATGATACACCACCATCACTTGGTGGAAGAGATGGTGGACGTTTGGTGGAGGTTGAAACATTCTGGTTGCCTCGAGGTCCGGCCGAATCTCCATGATATCCCGTGATGGCTTAACGGCACCCTTGACAACATGTCTTCATTTTACTTTTGACGAGGATTCGCCGTCATCATTACAGATGCTCGGGCTCTGTCTATATTGGCTCATTTACTCTTTGGGACAATGTCAGAGCCATATGAATAAAGTTTCAGAGGACATACGGGTTAGCGGCCCTGGTCCGATAAGATCCTAGTCGCGGGGGCGGGGGGTTACCAATACCATGCCAAATTATATTCAGGAATTGATGCTAAGCCGTTTTGCGAGACGAACAGCGTCTATGGGTGCAATATCATAAATATTTTTAACATAACTCTGAGAACAGCCGGTTGAGTGCAAAACAAAGCGAAAACGTATGCCCCCAAGTAATTACCATCGTGCACATTTCCGAGAAAGACGTAACCTAGTCCTCTTTTAAACTCCCAAATTGACGGTAGAGGAAGACAAAAAGGGATCGAAGACGGCTTGATTCCACGATGGATCGCTTCTAAATCTTGATACGACTTTTGAGGCTGAGAAGTTGCCAGCCTCAAGGCTTTCCGGCGGTACAACCCTAGGACAGCCTAAGATGATTACAGGCGCATGATGGGCGTTCAACGTGCGTGTGTGACACGTGGCTAAGTCCACCACGTGAAGTCACTTACGGTACCGGACCACGGTTTAACGTTCCAAAATTTCATTTTCCATCCATCGTCACTGTACACGTCTTCAGAAATGCAGAAAGAAAGTCGCATTTGATACGATCCACGAAATACATTCCGCGTGCAAATATTCAAACCCCATATTTACTACTCTGGGAGGATTTGTCTGTCAGCGTTCCTTTTCTAACTGACTCCAATGCTGCAGGGTTCTGATCTAACTTAGGAACAATGTTCTCGATCGAGAATATTAGCAAAGTAACCATCATATCATCAGAATCAGCAATTGATGGCCCAGCACAGGCACACCATTCGCTTCCTCTCGTTATTCCTTTCTTCTCCGCGACCGGGAACATATGACTTCCCTTCGTCGGAGCGACACGCTTTCTTTACCTCCGAGGTTTTTATTGACTCTCATCTACGACCGCGACGTTCCTAAAGCGTCTGTTCATCCAGCTATGAAGTCTCAGAGCTGTCACTTGGCACCAATCCCGAGGACACATCCTTCCAGTTCAAATTTAGAGCCCCGTACATCAGCTGCAGCTCTTCAATATCCAACTACCTTGTCCAAGTAGGCAGCTCGTCATGACCCAATATGCCGAGTACTGAGATGCCGTTGTAGCCATGCACAGAACTTGGTTACTACATCTGCCGGAGACGTCCAACTCATTACCCTCTCTACTGAGAACATGATTCCTTCTAAGGAACCTTCTTTGTACGGACTTCCATGATCCCATGCTTTCCCTTGGAAAACTGAGGGGCCACAGTTACGGTACAGTATCAAGGTTTACCGAACGCGTCACATATGCGTTCCGTCCACTCTCTCCCACTACGATGATCCTCGTCCCTCCAGAGTCACGTCCTCGGTACCATATCTCAGCTGGCTCTAATTGCTTTACACCTAGCTCGTATATTACCAGTAAGTGTTCGTCCTGTTGATTGATGAAAATCTGAAAATTGCCTTCGCAGCCATCAGGCGCGGCGGATCCGAGATCGGTGAGCTAGTAGCGGACTTTGAGTGAGTCTCTTCTATTCTTGTGTTTTATGATGAACGCATTTGATAGGATGGGCGACTCGACGCTGCCCCAGTCAGTCTACATTCGAGGTACGCAGCATCTTATCAAGGATTCCATAAAAACGCCCAAATCGGCGCATTTCGGGAGGAATATTGGCTGGAAAGATCGTCAGGTTGGTACCAGCATCTTTCCATCTGCCATTGAGCTCACAGACCAGCCTATAGTTATTCTATAATAATTACCAAGAGTGGACTCTGAGTTTCAGAGTATGTGTTATATCACCTCTCTGAGAGATACATCTTTTCTCATGTACATCATTCACAGAATCTCGAATGGGACCTCTCCGAAAACACCAAAATCGTAAGCACATTTCCACCCACCTGTTCAATCGGTCATACTTCATTCGTAGTGTACATCCTCATCCTCATCTCGTCCCTCAAGAAAAGTTCTGTACGCCAAGTTCACGCCATGTCAAGGCCGGGACCTGGCTCAGTTGGAGGTGACTCCAGAGGGACAGGACCAGTTCGACGATATTTTGATTTCAGCCCTGATATTGGAGTGGAAGAGGTTGATGCTAGATTCTGTCAGTTAAGGAGCATAAGGACTGTGTTTCAAGCTGCGTATCTTTCTCTGCAGCGTGCTTCTGCGGTTCCGATAGTCATGTCATTTCTCGGGTAATACATCCTCAATTGTTTGTGGGAGATCAACACTTTGAGAGTGTTCTGTGGCGCCGAGCCTCAAGCACCGTCGCATCAGTGAATGTTATTTTCAGGTCCAAGTTCGGTTCAGACAATTCAAAGAACACAAGCAATGCTCCACATAAAAGTCGGAGGGCGAACATAGCGCAAAGGCTTTGAATCCACACAGAACTTTCCTGGCATTATTGATAGTTCAATGTGAGTATTCTTCTCCGACTAAACATTCTTGTAGTTTGACTTGTTCACTTCAATCCAGTGTTTTGACCGTTCACTCCATGTACATTATCATTCACGCGCTGCTGTTCTTTGTGAATCCTTTAGGGTCGGCCCCAAGATAAGAACAACATTTCCTACCGAGATGCATACTGTTCTACTTGTTAATATCTCGGTATACGAGGTATGTCGCGACAAATTTTCTTTGATATGGACTAACTTTAGATCCGCAGTACCTATTTCAACCATCTGTATCTCTAGCTCACGCAGCCTGTACCTCGCCTACGTCACATAGAGACCAAATTCGAGAGAGCAGCGACGGAATTCGGCTAACGACCGTGTCGGAACCCAAGACACAAGGGCAAAGATAAAGATGATTTTTATCCAAAATCATACACGTACGCTCGTCATTTCCTTCATATTTGGTCTATCACAGAACGCCCCAAAATGGACGCGTTCGATTCATAGCAAGCCTACTGCTATCCCGCTGCAACTTCGGACATGATTGGGCTCAGCCGTACTTGTATGCTGTTTACCCAGGTGTGTCCCCCCACGGATGATCGAAGTATCGCAATGTCCCTCTACGAATTCCTAGTGGATACTGAACTAGACAGTCCTTCCAAGAGTGGCGAATCAGAGCCCAGGCCCTTTGTACCGGTCCCATACTCCTCGATACGCGCAGTAAGCAAGCTCGACTTCCTGTTTTCGATCATCTCATGATCTCTCCACTGTTCCAGCTCAGAGACCCGCCCAGCACCTGCCGAAAAATCTCTCCACCCCCATCTCGTGAGATGGTAGAATGTTTCGCGTGGTATACCAAGATTTCCATCCTGCTACTAAGGTGAATATGGACCACTCCTTGTCCTTCGTGGTACTGAAATCCGGGATATTCCACGGAAAGGTGGACCTCCAACCAACATTCCTTTGCACCGTTCGATAAGAGGCAAACTCCACCGTGAACTCAAGAAGCGACCTATTCATGAGCTCCCAGACGTGGAATTTCCCCGAACAAAGGGAGACCATGAGGTCATGGCAGAACATGATGCACCTGACGGTGCCTCAGAGGGATATTATAGATTCCTTCTGTGCTCTAGCTCGACGGTGAAGAAACTGTGACCATCGGCAGAATGTAGAATAAACATTCGGTTGGCCGAGAAATGCAACCAGTCGCATCCCCAGCCAATAGGCGGCTTGTTCCGATCGAAGACGAAATAGTGCATGTGGGATACATTAGGAATCTAGCCAAATCATATGTGTTGTCAGATATAGCAGAAGATTGATACTTTATATTCACGATATTAGTGGGATTCACAGCATGTATTTCTGTGCTGACAACTAGATAACAGGCTGTAGACATGCCCCGATAAATATGTGTAATGATTGGAGGGGAGTTTAGGGCTTCATGCAAAATGGATGTAGGGACTTTGAGCATGTGTTTGAACTAAGTATCAACTTAAATCACCACCACATACCAAACTAGGGCATTTTATTGTATAGTGCTAGTCACAGAGATATCAACCTATCCTAACACAAGTAAGGGACCAGTGCTCCTGGTCCCTGGAGAAGTTCAATTGGGCAACATCAAGAACCAAGAATCAAGATGTGGGCTGTAGGAGACTGTCACTGTCATCTATAGTCTCTGTCCTGTTTCTGGTACCCCTCACCAGCTTCCAATGCTACATCCTAGCTTGACTTCTATACTATGCAGGTGGATATAGCACAATAGAAATATCACAGTCAGCACATGGTTCAAGTCCATCTGTCCATGCATTTTGTGATGTCATTTTTATTCCTAGAGAGAATTACTAATCCTTCTGTGTGTCTCCAGCCAGATGTACAGGGGATGTCCTCTTGATTTTATTTTTGACATTGAACTGCTCATCCTGAAGGAGATATTGATATGGCATAAATAAAGTTTGAGAGTCCTCAGCACTGACATACTGCTTCTTCTTATAGATGTTCCTTCTTCTCTAGCACAGAATCCATGTCTGTGCAAGTTGGATATTGTGTAATGGCCTGTTCTGGAGACTCAGATTTGATTCTCTGTATCACAATGCATGATGATGCTGTGCTCTATTTTGACTTTTTGAATTGAAATACATGTGGTATGATTATCTGATTAGTACAATTTCTTTTTAAAAAGACATTCATAAACAAGCCAGATATACAGAGAGTAATATTTTGCAATATTACATGGAGAATGATTTCTGTTCATCAGAGCCTGAAACTGTGTAATGCAGTGGCTGGCTTCTAAGTCAGGTTTGATTCTCTGCATCTGGATATGAATATTGACCCATTAGAGTGTGGTTTTTAATAGTTTAGAAGGTTACTCTTAGTTCTAAAATGGTGGCCTATCCTTAACCTTTTCACCTTATTCATTTACTCACTATTATCTATTTTCTTTATAAAGATATTAACACTCTTAGAATCAGTGGTGACATACAACAGAGATCAGAGAAAGAGCTGCCTTGGCAAGTCAGATTCCATGCACACTGCCAAGTTCAAAGATGAACAGTGCTTTGGTGATCACTATACATGGTCAGAGTCAGCAAACAGGTTAAAGTAGCAGATTATTTCACCTCAAGGTCAAACACTTCTTTTAGCCCATCTGATATATATTCAACTTGATATAGTATAGAAGTTTCTGTGCAGAATTACTCTGGGTTTGATTCTCTGTATCTGAAATATCATGCCAATAGATCTTTTCATCACCTTAGTTCTCAGTTTTTTTTAGATCATATCTCTGTGGATTCATACAATGGGGATACTTTTCAACAAACAACAGTAGTAGCACTGTATAATGTATAGAAGTAGGAAGATTCTTCTGCAGTGTTATCCTCATTTGCCTAGCTTAAAAAATTCAAGGTGTAGAGCAGAGTCTGATCCTGAATAAATCACGGGTGTATAGTTTCATATAAATAAAACTCACCTTTTTATACAGTCAACTTTCTTATAATCCATAGCAGTCGGTGGACCCTCAGAGCTATGGGTTATAGAGAGTATGGGTTACAAGGGGTATCAATTATGAGAGAGTTGACTGTATCCAGCACTAGTGAGAGGAGAGTAACTGTACCTGCTCCTTCACTTCTCATTACATAGAGATTCTCTATCAAGATACTATCACAGACTTATAATCTGATATGAAAATAGATTTCTCATCCAATGATAGATATAGTATAAAGGATACTATTGTCACATCTTCTTGCAGCAGCCCAGGGTTCAAAGTTTGAGTTCTTGTATCTGAATAATAATTAATGATAAATTATGTCTATATTTTTTTTAAAAAAAATTGTTTTGCATATCATTAGTATAAGATATAGAAAGCCACACAAAGCTGAGGCTCTGAGAATAGCAAAACATAGATCAATGAGAACAGGATGAAAAAAATCCAAGATACAAATAGTAATAATCTAGAATACTCACAGAAACAAAGCAAGAGGTGTATATTCTATACTCAATGATTACCCTTCCCTCATGGTTTCATATTAAGCATCTCTTGTTCCTGTGAAGTGGAATGACTATTTATATGCTTCAAGTTCAATTTAATCCTAGTGGATAACTCTGGAGGCCTAGAACAGATACTGGAGGTGGCAGAATAATCTTGAGAAGATAAGAAAGCAAAGAGATCTATGGCTAGACTCACTAACAGAACTAACTGATGTCAGATTGCATATAAATTGAGGGCACAGTCCTGACCCAAATCAGAATATACATATCAAATGGTGATATGCATGAAAATAACTCACAAGAGACTCTGAAACAGATTCCAATGCATTGAAACTACTATATTAGATTTCTCTTAGTAAGTACAGTATTAGCCTATTTAAATACTGCATTGTAAAAGTAGTATACAAGTTTCTGACCCTCCACAGTTGCAGTGTATTGAGCATGAAGGTCTTGCACTTCAGCTCTGAGTTTGAGTTTGTAACTTTAGGCAAGAGAGTAAATCTGATATTGAGATTATTATGAGTGATTTGAGTATCACATGAGGCATAAAAGCTTGTGAGAGACTCTGATCTGACTTGAAAAAAAGTTTTGAATTGTGCTCTAGCCTGAAAATAAGAGAGCAGTGTCTGAAGGACACTCTTTTGAGTTTTTGAGGTATTTGTGATGCAAGGCACTACAGGTAGCAGAGGTTTGGACTCCAGCTTGATTAGTGCTCACTTTTTAGTTATTTCAGCAGGTTGGCAGAGGTTCAAATTCTTTGGGCCTGTTGATGGGGTTTTTGTGTTTTATGTCTCTGGATCACATAGGTTTGAATACTGGGGGTCTGTGATCAGTTAGAAAACTTGTGCACAAAGGTTTGAACCTTTTGGTACTTGTAGACAGAATTGTGAAAGGTTTCTGCTTAGAGTGTGAAGCTTTAAATCATGTATTGTATGTGATAGATATTTTGATTTGATCTCAGCAGTGCTTGAGACTTTTTCATACTTTTGGGAGAGTGTTTCAAATTATTGTATTGAGCTACAATACTTTTGCCTTGAGGCCTGGCAATACTGGTCACTCCTCTTGTATAAACAAAAGCTTTGAGACTTAGAGAGATCTCAGGCTATTATATGTGCTATTGCTATTTGCACACAGTGAATCATTGAAGAGACAATTATATTTGCTATTACTACTCTTATTGCATTATAATCCTCCACTGAATTAAGAGTGTTGTGTGTATATTGGTGTGGATGTGATCAGTGAATAGTATTTTGTAGTATTACTTTCTACTACATGCATGTGCAAACCTCTTCAATAGGACTTTAGTCTGATTTAATAAATGGTTTTAACTTGCACTCCACTCTGAGAATAGGAGAGTCATGTCTTGAGGAGACTCTTTTGAGTTTTTGAGGTACTTGTGATGTGAGACACTACAGATGGCAGAGGTTCAAACCCTTTGGATCTGTGGATGGTGTTTTATTATGATTTATATTTCTCTAAATCACATAGGTTTGAACTCTGTGCATCTACAATAGGTTTTAAAGCTTGAATATATAGGTTCAAATCCTATGGCTCTTATAAATGTAATTGTGAGGTGTTTCTGCTCAGAGTGTGAAGCTTTAAATCATGTATTGTGGATGTTAAAGTCTTTGAGTTTAGTCTGAGCATTACTTGGAACTTATTAAGAGCTTTGTGGAAGCTTTTCAAAATAGTATGTTGTGTCACAATACTCTTGTCTTAAGGCTCAGCAATATCCATCACTCCTCTTATTATATAAAAACTTTGAGACTTAGAGAGATCTTAGTGGTATATGCATGCTATTGACACTTGTATACTGTGAATTGTTGAGAATATACTTATATTAGCTCCTGCTACTCCTATCACATTAGAATCCACTAATGAACTTGGAGTGTTATGTGAGTGTGTTACTAGTATGGATGTGATCAGTGCATAGTTCTATGCTGTGTCAGCTTCTAGCTTGTGTATGCAATGACAGTTTGAGTGTTTCAAATATGATAGAGGCACTCTGCAGACTTGATAATCAAAGAGAGTTGTGGTTCAAATGATGTTTATTTCTTACTAGTGAGTTATACAAAGGTACTACTCATACAAGCAGGGGTAAGACATGATTATAATAAAAGTTGCTTGCATTTTGAGCTACTGCACTTGCTGACTGAGGCTACTCTGAAGACTATTAGCACTTTGGGCCTGAACTACTTCCTACAAGTGGATAACCACTTGACTAGTCACACTCTAGGCAAACTAGTGGTGCTCTTAGCCTAAGGATAATACTATAACTGTGAGTAACTTGTTTAACTGACTTCAAAGGGCACTCTTGATTATTCTAGACACAATAGTAGCCTCAAAAGCAGACTTCAATTCACTCAATTCTAAAGTAGACTTGGCAACTGATGTCATCTCACCAAGCTTGAAGCACAAATATCTTTCATTGGACTACTAGGTACTACTAGTGGATCACAATTATAGAGATGACTTGCCTGTTGCACATTGTCCTACACTACTGGCTAAATACAATCTACAAAAGATACTATAAGCTATAAATAATTATACAAGAGAGATATTATTTATGAGATTTTCTTAGACTACTCATGCTTTATGGTGAATAATCATGCAATAATAGTCTTAGTGGTCACATGCTTACTAGCAGATCCAGGAGCTCCAACTGTAGCCTCATTCTATCTATCAGATCCTGCAATAGCAGTATTACATTTAATTTTTAGCTCTACTAGTTGACTACTGCTTGGACTATCAGCTTGAGGCCTCAACTATAGCCCTATTGTCTCTACTGGTATAAAGCAGATCTGCAATAGTATTGT